TTCTGTTGGGTTCCTTAGAAAGAGCTAGCCTCAATCCCTGGACCAATGTGTATGCACTGAATTGTTCTAAGCCGGTTTCAGGTTTCCTCAAACTGTAAATCCGTATAAACGCATAAACAGACGCTTGCATGAATCAGAATATGTGTTATAATCTCAAGACACAACTATTAATTACTGAACCACTTAATTTATTGCCGGTCACGGTAGCCGAGAGGTCTAAGGCACCCACTGTCTTCACTCCCTCGGAAACTGGGATCGTGTGTTCCAATCCATAAGGCGTGGATGTTCGGTATGTTTATTCTGAGTTTAGGTAGAGGCCTTGCGACGAGCTGATCACTCATCCAAGGAGTCCTACCGCCTGTAAAATGATCATGACACTGAAAAATCAGAGGCCAGGGCCCAAGGGGGGCTGTAGAGCCAGTGGATGAAAAGGTTCATTAATTATTGGCAGCAGTAACTGACGATTGACACTCCCAGCGTATTAAGCAGCCTGGACACTGGGATCGCGAATTCGAATCTAGCTTGGGGCAAGGCTGTGTTCCTGCGAAAGGAGACGCCTTATGAGAAACTGATTCTCCACTTACGGAATCCTAATACTACCGTGAATCTGATCATAAATAGTACTGTCTTCTGGGATATACCGCCTCGTAGTCCGTTGAAAGTCAACCGACGTTTCGGAGGAGCATAGCCTCCATCTTCAAGGTCGAATAAGCCGAGTAAGATACCAGTGTGATAACAGGTGGCATGCTTTCACGGTAGTATCTTGTTCGGCTTACTCGAACCTGAATATGGAGGCGATGTGTTCCTCCGAAACGTCGGCTGACTTTCAACGGACTACATGGCGTTATATGCCGGAAGATAGTAAGTAATCTTCATAACCACAGCTGCGAGAACCTCAAATCCTATGATTCTTAAGGCGCGTCCACATTACTCGTGCTCGTGCTCGTGCTCGCCACGCTTGTGTGGTCGGGAGACTCGTCTGGCTTTTACTTGTGCTCGTAAATCTTCGTCCACACTACTTCAGATGCTCGCCAGGTTTCGGCGCGTGAGGATCCGTATATTTACTCGTAGTGTGTATAGGCTGTAGTCGTATTTTAATTGATTGGCTATAGTTTTTAAATTAAAAATTTTAAATTTCCTTGTCCCGTGACTTGTCATATCGTCCACATTACATGCGAGCATAGCGAGTCGCAAGAGCACGAGCACGAGTAATGTGGACGCTCCTTTAAAGACTGGAAAGAGCAAATGCTCGAAATGAGTCCGAGAGGGGTTAGGGGAAGGGGAGAAGGAACTAACTACAGACCTACTTGATCTTAAGGCGCGTCCACATTACTCGTGCTCGTGTGACTCGCTATGCTCGCGAGTAATGTGGACGATATGACTAGTCACGAGACAAGCAAATTTTAAATTTTTAATTTAAAAACTATAGCCAATAAATTAAAATACGACTACAGCCTATACACACTACGAGTAAATATACGGATCCTCACGCGCCGAAGCCTGGCGAGCAACTGAAGTAGTGTGGACGAAGATTTACGAGCACAAGTAAAAGCCAGACGAGTCTCCCGACGAGCACAAGCCTGGCGAGTACGAGCACCAGTATGAGGAATGTCGACGCGCCTCTATGCACTACAGAATTATTATTTTTATTTATTGCTAGTGGGGTGGGACCAAGTCCCTTGTACTGGGGCCACTTCTGGCCTATTATACCAGCCCCAGATGATAGGTGAGGGTGATTGAGGAGAAAATTGGTGGAATGAAGATTGGCAGGGGAAACCGAAGTACTCGGAGAAAACCTGCCCCAGCGCCACATTGTCCACCACAATTCCCACTTGACCAGACCCGGGATCGAACCCGGGCCGCCGTGGTGGGAAGCCAGCGACTAACCGCTTGAGCTATGGCGCGGCCTTACGCAGTACAGAAACAGGGCTGTTCATAAGCAAATCAATTTCGAGTTCTTTATTGACAAGACAGTTATCTACTGTAAACATGAATCCGAAGGTGGGGCGTTTAGGACGTCGTCTGCGAGTGTGCAGGGCTATGTGCATTTATCGAGCACCCGAAAAACTCAGGGGATATTTACATTCATATCTGGAATTTGTCTGTGGTTCTGTATGGGTTTGAAACTTGGTCTCTGACATTAAGGGAGGAACACAGACTGAAGGTGTTTGAGAACAGGGTGTTGAGGAGAATATCTGGACCGAAGAGAGATGAAGTGACAGGAGGGTGGAGAAAAGTGCATAATGAGGAGCTTCATAACTTGTACTCTTCTCCAAGTATAATTAGAATGATCAAGTCAGGGAGGATGATATTGGGCAGGGCGTACGAAGAGGGGAGAAGAGGAATGCAAATAAGAAATTGGTGGGAAAGCCAGAAGTAAAGAGACCACTGGGAAGACCGAGACATAGGTGGGTGGACAATATTAAATTGGATTTTTTTTTAAATTCGCTTAGTGGGTGGTGGAGTCCAGCTGGGTCCACTCGGCACGGCGGCCATTGGTTGGCCTATTGTAGCCTGCCCCGGGTGATTACGATGATGGAGAATTTGGTGGAATGAAGATTGGCAGGGGAAACCGAAGTACTCGGAGAAAACTCGCCCAAACGCCACTTTGTACTCCACAAATCCCACTTGAGCAGACCCGGGATCGAACCCGGGCCGCCGCGATGGGACGCCAGCGACTAACCGCTTGAGCTACGGCGCGGCCAAAGTGGATGTTAGAGAGACAGGTTGGAATGGCATGGATTGGATTGATCTGGCTCAGGATAGAGACCAGTGGGGGGCTCTTGTGAACACGGTAATGAACCTTCGGGTTCCATACAATGCTGGGAAATTCTTGAGTAGCTGCAGATTTGGCTTCTCCTCAAGAAGGGCTTAGCTCCATAAGTATGTAAGTAAGTACTTGGAGGGCCGCGCCATAGCTCAAACGGTTAATCGCTGGCTTCCCACTGCGGCGGCCCGGGTTCGATCCCGGGTCTGGTCAAGTGGGATTTGTGGTGGACAAAGTGGGACTGGGGCAGGTTTTCTCCGAGTACTTCGGTTTCCCCTGCCAATCTCCATTCCACCAATTGCTCCACAATCACCCTCACCTATCATCTGGGGCTGGTACAATAGGCCAGAAGTGGCCGCAGTACAAGGGACTTAGTCCCACCCCACTAGCAATAAAGAAAATATTTGGAGTTTACAACTTACAGGTTCATTACGGATATGAGTTTGTGACTCAAAAGTTAGCCGACTGCCTTGTACACAATGACGTCACTAGAATGTCAGATCTGAGTTTCTCACAGCACATGTGTCTGCCGGGACGTAGGTTGCGTAGTCTGGTGTAAGCCCACCGACATTACGCAGTAACAAGGTGCTTGTTTCTTCAGAGTCAAAACAGAAAGCCCTAAAAATTATTCTAAATAATTTGATCAAAATTAACAAATTCTGTCATACAGTCGTCGTAAGTACTGCATTAGGTACCGGCACAAAAGCTTCATAGCACAAAACTAGGGGTTCTTTCCTCTGAAACGTACAATGAGCCTAAGAATGTCTGTCCAATCGATTTTAAATTTGGGGAAAAAGTTCGGAAAGCACTGCCCAAGTCAAGGGTGCGACAAACAATGCCGATTATTTTAATGAGGCTGATAATATTGATGCAATTAATGGCAGGAGAAAACTGAAAGATATTTTGTTATTAAAAACGTAAAGGCGAGCTGTTACTTGCAAGAATTCTGGCAAAATAAGAATGCCAAGTTCAGATAAAACTCTTTATTATACACAACAATAAGCAATTCCCGTCCTAAAATGCAAATAAAAAAAAAGAATAGCTTTCCGTGGAAAAAATAAAAACCGTGATTGGGTATTAAATAATAATAGCGAATTAATTAATTACTTAGGGTGTCAGATATATTTAAATTACAAAACGACAGTGATTTAAAAAAAAAGGAATCAAAATAATGTGGGCATACACAGAACTGTATATGAGCAGACGTTTCGTGCGGTTCAGAAAAGGACAGGCCTAGTGACTTAGGAAGCCTGGTGATGCTTATTTGTTTGCTCCCAGATCAGCATCAGGAGTTTCACTCCGAAACCAAAACAGGGCATGCGATAGGGAATTTGAATTTAATATAGCCCATGCCATAGGTCAGCCTGCTGGGCACTCGTATCTCATTGGGGAGCCTCGACTTCAGTTTCCGGTGACTTCATATGCAACTCATGGTGAACGAAGTGGCAACTGGAGCAGTTTTTCACCCTCCTAATTTTCCCCGATAATCTTCATTCGCCGGTCACGGTAGCCGAGCGGTCTAAGGCATGTACTGTCTTCGCTCGCTTGGAAACCGGGATCGTGGGTTCCAATCCGACTCAGGTAATGGAGGTTTAGTTTGTGTGTGTGCATTATTCTGTGTTTGTGTACAGGTAGAGGCCTTGCGACGAGCTGATCACCCGCCCAAGGAGTCCTACCGAATGTGTAAGATCTAGAAAAACCGAAGTGAACGGAGAAGTTCATGGAGGTAGGCCTAGGCCCAATGGGGCTGTAGTGCCAAGGGAAAAAAATCTTCATCCCGCCACTCCTTCCTACTTTTCTAACACGGTATCCCTGACGAGGCTACACGCCATCGGACATAATTATGCTTAAGGCTTCAACTCTGACCCGGTAGTTGGCTGGCTGCAGTGTGAGGTAGTTAGTTTACTTCGTTTACAAATTAATGTTAGCTCTATTGTGTATTAGAAACAGCACTCGGGACTACACAAATAACGAACATGCAGACGTTGAAACAACGAGAGAAAATCATACCCCAATGGGAGTTTGGAATTACGTTCCGAGACTTAATACAGAGAGACTAATGAGATATTAATGGTGACAGGGCAGGCAGTAGAGCCTAATCCTTAAAGCTGTTGATGAAACAACAAAAGACTGACCTCAACCGCCGCAGGTAAATAACTTTGACTATGTTGTAGGGAAAATCTGTACCTTAAACTTTTTACACAATACTAAAGTGAAGTTTTATCGTACTCACCATGAAAACCATGAACCTTGATTGCGAAGTCTGCTTCACTTTTCGAATAGCAGTCACCAAGGAAGAACGTTGTTCCCGGATGTTGAAAGACGTAAACAGATTCTACGGTTACAACTTAACGTGACCACTGTTCATCCCTGCCTCATTCGTAGCTTTTCTGACGTCTCCACTGCCAACTGAAAGTTAAATTTCTTATCTTCAGGATGTACTTCGAGCTGCTTTGCAATATGCGCCTTGTAAATGGTTACTTTTTATAACTGCTTAAAACAAACAGCATTCATCACACGACCGTCAACCTCTCGTTAGCATACATAATACACCGAGTCGATACAGGAACTCTCTTTTAAAAGCATAACTGCTAATACAAATACAAAATATTTCCGCCTTCCGTGGGAGATACACAACCTAACTACTGGCTCGGTTATCAATTAATTCTCACTTTGAATTCGAAGTCAATATTGTATACGGGGCGTGTATGTTATTGCTTTTCAAATGCGACACTACAATTATTCTTGAACAGGTTCACAAATGTTACAACATTTAAAAACAGGCACCCAGATGTTGCTTCTAAGGCACAAATATTGGTAGGAATTTATTGCCACATAGTCTGACGTCCAGACTAGCTTCACGAACTGTTAACACTTGCCAACTCGGTATTCTGAGCGACTGTACTTCTCATCCGCTGTTATCTGCGTAATGGTCACGTGCTTGCATTAGCACCTTTTTTTGTGTGTGTACAGGCAAGAACGGCACCTGCTACAGTCTGGATGTCATTTAACGAGAGACACAAATCAGTCGTTATAATACATTTATCGAAGTCTTCTTAATACTGAACAATGTATGTAACAGCACTTGTTATACGGTCGCTGGTGTGACCTGATAAATCACTTAGACACGCCCACTTTGTGTGTTCAGTGTTCTAGATATTGGTTCGCTCGTATTTTTTAAAATCTGCTCGACTTCACCAGTGCGTCTCTCTAGAAAAGTATAAAAACACTCTGTGATTCTGATGTTATATCTGTTCCCATGCCTGGCGTACCGTGTTTCAGCATACACTTCGAATATCACACACCCTTGTTTTCGCTTTTAAGTTTGTTAATTCGTAATTATCCACAACGACAACCTGTAGAATATAACACAATACAACTTAATTCGAGTCCTTTTCATGAACAATTGAATGTTGTTCTTGAATGTCTTTTCTTTAAAACGTAAAGAAACTGAAAAATAATAAAATGAAAACAGAAAGAAATGGCGCGACAAGTTGGCGCGCCCGGACTCTGAGCCGGCTCGCGATGCACTGGGAACCGTGCCGTACTCTCTCGAGTATCATTCGGCACGGCACGGTGGGCGATGGTAACGCACCACAGCGGCAATCACACAACCCACGTTGCCAAGCCTCTCATCTTCAGTCCCGACTAGGAATGCACGTGTCTCATATACTTGATGATTAAATTACTAAATTCCTATCACCAACCATTCTGCTAACCACCTAGTAAACTAATAAAATAAGTAGATAGCTCTATGGCATATTAGCATCCCGGGTTCGAGTCTCAGCACAAGCAGGAATTATCTTTTGAAAAATACGCCCGTAATATTTCTGCAGTTCGCACAACGTCCTGTCAAATGGATACTGTTGATTCTTTCCACCGGAAAACGCGACAGGATCGTAAACCTGATTACTAACCTCTGGTGGTACCGAAGCTGAAAAGGTGTGGAGCTTTAATTTCACTTGTACAAACACCTTCGTAGAGTTGTGCATAGGCCCAGAACTACCTTAATTTATTTGTCTCTTTGGTACAAACGTTCCTGCACAACAGAAAGTTATTAAAATATTCAATCATTCGATCTCTTAGGAAAAAAGGACGTTAAAAGAGGTCACTCTAGCTCGTGTTCAGACCCTCACTCAATATTTCTCCGAGATCCATTTAAAAAATTGCGTAGCTCAAAGCAGTTTGAAGAGCTGACTGCAAAATACTTTTTACTGTGTCTGCAACATGCTTAATCGCATGTCGAAGGACCATCCATTTTGTCCGCTGCTGCTCATTTTACATGACCTAATCGCAACTACTCTCACCATCTCACAGATGTCTCTAGTCTATAAATATTTGAGGATGCGACATGTCATGGTTATAAAACGCCTTTGATACAAAAACAATACGTATTCACTATGTGACCTTCAACATGTGACCTAATTCAGTTGGATATGTTACTGATTTGAAGTTGTTATTAATAAGGACGCAATCGATCTGTATTATTGGACGTGCCATAGCTGTAATTATAAGTATAAAACTTGTTCAATGCGAACAAGGAATGCGTAAGTTGTGTCAATTTCTGGATAACCAAACTCGACCTGTCTGCTGGTCCATGTGTATCAAAATGCCGACTTAAAAAAGAAAGTATACAGAATCTCTGTATAGGCTAATCCGAAGTTCTGAAACATTACCGAATCAGATTAAATTGTCTGTTCTACGTTTGCAAAGAAACCATGGTTTAACTGAGATTTAATAAGTAATGGGCCTACAACCAAAGAGACATACGTGAGTATCAAAAGAAAATTGATACAGAAAAACAAATTAATCAAAGAATATAACAATAATATTTTTACACATTGCAGATAAGAGAAACCTACCTACACACCAACATCAATGAACTGCATGAAACACACCCACGCCGCAGAAGATTGCGATAATAGAACCCGCAAGGAGATCGCAACCGTTTTTATTAAATTTAAATCGGCGACCTATTTTAATTTTAAAGTTAATAGCAATTTTAATTTTAATTTAAAAATTGAGACAATCAGTGTAACGAACAATTTAGCATGGCGAGGACACCTGACGATGACTGTACACGGCCGAAACACGTCGCGAATAAAGATTAAATTTACTGTAACAACATCGTGTTGCATTGTGACGAAATAAATATTGATGAAATAATTGAAATACGATATAATGAAACACAGTATTAATAACTGGCGTCTGTTCAGTGCCCATGGCGCCCTTTTGAAATCGGCAAATACGGTACACAAGGCCGGTCACGGTAGCCGAGCGGTCTAAGGCATATACTGTCTTCGCTCGCTTGGAAACCTGGATCGTGGGTTCGAATCCTATTCAGGGCATGGATGTTTACTTTGTGTGTGTGCGTTTTTCTGTGTTTGTGTACAGGTAGAGGCCTTGCGACGAGCTGATCACCCGCCCAAGGAGTCCTACCGAATGTGTAAGATCTAGAAAAACCGAAGTGAACGGAGAAGTTCATGGAGGTAGGCCTAGGCCCACTGGGGCTGTAGTGCCAAGGAAAAAAATACGGTACACAAAAAGATCAATCCGCATATAGAACAAATTAATTACCTAAATTGTTGAACCAGAGTCATAAGAAGCTAAGAGTTGCACACACTGGCAAGAGATTATCCGCCTTGTATGGAATCGAAATTTCATTATTGTCTTCACAATAGCATGTCACTGAATTTAGTTTTATTTTTTCTGTTCAATTTCCTTAATATTATGTTTTAATATTATACACCATCTACGCCTAGACCTTCCAAACTGTCCCTTCCCTTCAGGCTTTCCGACGAAACAAAATTATGAAAACTGCGTGCTTCTCATTTTTCAAGCGCATGTTACGTGCTCAGCCCATCTTATCCTCCTTGTTTCGAGTACCTTCGTATAGTCATGTAGTGAGTAGGAACTTCTGAAAATTATGAATATCCTCATTACGAGCTTTTCTTCAGCCTCCTATTACTTCCTTCCTCTTACGTTCCACTATTCTCTTCAGTACCCTGTTCTCGAATGTCCTCAGTCTAACTAACTAAATAACCAACTCCATGGAGATGGTCTTTCTTGGGAAACCATCAATTGCTCAGCACCTCGAAGAAATTCCCAACATTTTACTGAACCCGAATGTTCACAAAAGCCATTCACGAGTCCCTATCCCGAGACAAATGGATGCGATCCATACCACCCAATTCTTTTCCTCTAAGATCCGTTTTAATATTATTCCTCCACCTACGTCTAGGTCTTCCTAGTGGTCTCCTTCCATCCAACTTTCTCACCAAAACCCTGTAAACATTCCTCTTCCTTCCCATGCGTGCTATGTACCTTACCCATATTACCCTCTTCCAATTGATCATTATGATTATGTTAGAGGTATGAAGCTCCACCTTATGCAGCTTTCCCCAACCTCTCGACTCCTCCTCTAACAGAAATTAATACCAGGAATCTTCCTGGGATTAAAGGGAGGCCGGCGTATAAGGGTGGCAACGTCACCGCTATCTGTGGCCGATTGTTTAGAAAATGTGGGAGCCTCGACGTCTCACAGCCTTATGGGCCTCCACGACATGTTATTGGGATAGGTTTACTTTTACCTTTACCCCCTACTGTTCCATATCTCTTGCGTCCAAATATTCTTTCACGGCAGCCATTTCAATCGATGTAAGTGAATAAATATATGATACAACTTACACCAACTGTAAAGAAAACAAATGGTTTCTGATCCTTACAGGATCGTTTCCGACCATAAAAATTTGAGTGTAAACAGTTGCCATTTATTCCTAACTTACGTCTGAAAGTGTTAGTGTGAAGAATCACGGACATTCGCCTACATACTTTCACGTCATAGTGCATACGTATAAGTAGCTTTGTTCTGACGTCAGTCATCAGTCAAATGGAATACTCTTGTTTGGTGGTTGGGTTCGTCTGCTCAAGACGTCAGAAGGAAGACTGTCATATTATCGCTGACATAACGGATAATTCTGTACCGAAAGATTAAATTGATATAAAACAATGAAAATCAAAACAATGAGTCGTGATAGTTTTGTAAAAAGGTCCGTCTTGTAACAATTCAGACACTTTTGGGCTCCTTACCGGAGGGGTGAAAGCGACTGGGGCTTAGAGCCGTAGCGAGAATAAGTTGCTAGAGGATATACAGGATCCCTTTCAAACCTACACGGCAAAAGTCTACATACGGGACTGACATTGTCATTACATTAGTGTATTTGCAGTGAGCACGAGTGAACAGAGGCATTTAGCACGTGTCACGAACCGCACATATGTTGCGCATCTGCATGGAGAACACCAGTTGCCACCACAAATGGCGCAGAGTAAACAAGGCTGGTCAAGTGCGTAACTTGTTACATGCAGGTGGAGTTCGTATTACGTGTGCGTGCTCTCATGCAGTCGTATCTAAGATTTGTTCAACATTCTCTCGAAAACAATAAACCAAAGGAGGAAAATGTGAATGTCTAATACCATTTGCGTTATCAAACTATACAACTTCAAACATCCGATCTAACCACACAACTTAAGTCGTAACTTATATTAATTTAGAATATATTTCTGTCTCAGCTCATCTTAATGGCACATAGGCCTGTCTTATATTACGGTATGATTGCTGGGGATCACAAAATCTAGTTTCCTACTGCAATGCTAACAATTTTTGCGTTTAAATGTTATATTTTTCCCCTTGGCACTACAGCCCCAGTGGGCCTAGACCTACCTCCACGAACTTCTCCGTTCACTTCGGTTTTTCTAGATCTTGGACATATGGTAGGACTCCTTGGGCGGGTGATCAGCTCGTCGCAAGGCCTCTACCTGTACACAAACACAGAAAAACGCACACAAACATCCATGCCCTGAGTGGGATTCTAACCCACGATCCCGGCTTCCGAGGGAGCGAAGACAGTAAATGTTATATTTAGGAAATGTAAATTCATTACAGCCGGTCACGATAGCCGAGAGGTCTAAGGCATGTACTGTCTTCGCTCGCATGGAAACCGGGATCGTGTGTTCGAATCCCACTCAGGCCATGGATGTTTAGTTTGTGTGTGCGTTTTTCTGTGTTTGTGTACAGGTAGAGGCCTTGCGACGAGATGATCACCCGCTCAAGGAGTCATACCGCATGTGTAAGATCTAGAAAAACCGAAATGAACGGAGAAGTTCATGGAGGTAGGCCTAGGCCCACTGGGGCTGTAGTGCAAAGGGAAAAAAAATCATTACTCCCCGGTCACAGTCGCCCCGCGGTCTATGGCATGAACTGTCTTCGCTCATTCGGACACTCGGATCGTGGTTTCGAATCCCACTTAAAGGCATCGAAGTTTGGTGCGTGTATGCGTTTATTCGGTGTTTAGGTAGCGGCCTTGCGACGGGCTGATCACTCGTCCAAGGAGTCCTTCCTTCTGTGAAAAATGATTACGGAACTGAATGAGGCTAGGTCCCTGAATGGGCTGCAAGAGTTATTGAAAAAAATCATTAATCGCCGATCACAGTGACCGCTCGGTCTAAGGCATGAAT